CCACCTCAAAAGCATCAATTCTTCAGCACTCAGTTTTCTTTACAGTCCAACTCTCACATCCATACGTGACTACTGGAAAAACCATAGCCTTGACTAGATAGACCTTTATTGACAAAGTAATGTCTCTGCTTTTTTTTTTTTTTCTCTGACTCCCTACCCCTTTTAGGACTTCAAATATACATATTTTAGAATGATTGATGCTTCCCCACAGGACCCAGGATGGTTTAGCTGTGAGTTTTTTTTTTTTTTTTATCACAACCATAGTGTATCTTTTTTTTTTTTTTTTTTACATGTATTCCCCATCCCGGTCCCCCCTCCCACCTCCCTCTCTGTCTCTGCTTTTTAATGTGCTGTCTAGGTTGGTCATAACTTTCCTTTCAAGGAGTAAGTGTCTTTTTATTTCATGGCTGCAGTCATCATCTGCAGTGGTTTTGGAGCCCTAAAAAATAAAGTCAGCCACTGTTTCTACTATTTCCCCATCTATTTCCCATGAAGTGATGGGACCAGATACCATGATCTTAGTTTTCTGAATGTTGAGCTTTAAGCCAACTTTTTCACTTTTCTCTTTCTCAATGTTGGGACATCGTTTTCAAACCTTGGAGGAAAAAAACCTGTATCCAGTTAAGACTGGGAAATACCAGATTAAACATTTGATGGGTTTCTTTCCAGTAGGGCTTTATTGGTATTACTGTGTTAATATGCATAGTAAGTTTCTAAAAAGGAGAGGAGACGTCCTTTCTGAGACCACTTGATTGTGAAATCTTTTCCCATGAAGAGTCTCCAGTCCTAGTGTTTTGTAAAGCATACTTTAGAAAATTTATTCTAATAATCTTAGTTTTATGATTTTTCTAGCCCATTGAAAATTAGAATTTCTGAAATTAGAACATTGGAGAAGAGGCTGTGAACTGACTCCTGATAGACCGTGAAGGATGAAACACAACTTCAAAAAGCAGAAAGCCCTAGGAGCTGGCACAGAATAGCCTGGGAGCAAGAAGTGCTGTCCAGAGAAGTAACCCCCATGGATGTGCCTGTGGTTCCGTTGTCATGTGTTCCATTTAAGAATGCTTGGACTCATGTAGTGCAGTTCAGAAAAATCTGTTTTCAAAAAAGATTACTTTTGTTCACTTGTTGGTTTTGATGTGACTGTCATAAACTTAGGGCTTCCCATGTGGCTCAGTGGTAGAGAATCTGCCTGAAATGCAGGAGGCTCAGGGAATGCGGGTTTGATTCCTGGGTTGAGAAGATCCTTTAGAGGAGGAAATGGCAACCCACTCCAGTGTTCTTGCCTAGAGAATCCCCATGGACAGAGGAGCCTGGTGGGCTACAGTCCATGGGGTTGCAAAGAGTCGGACACGGCTGAGCGACTAAACACAACAGCACACGTCATAAACCTGTCAGTTCCTCAGAGTTGCAGGAACAGTGCCACAAAGCTGGGCGACTTAAAACAACAAATTACTTTGGAGTTCTGGAGGCAGAAGTCCCAAAAGCAAGGGTTTAGTAGAGTCGCACTCCCTCCGCAGGCTTTAGGAGAGAGTCTGTCTCTTCCTCTTCCAGCCTGTGGTGACTCCTGGTGTTCCTTGGCTTGTAGGAGCAAAACTCCAGGCTCTGCCTGTCTTCACACAGTCACCTCTGTGTGTGCGTGTCTGTGTTCTCTCCTTTTCTTATAGGGGCGCCAGTCATTAGATATAGAGCACACCCTAAATCTAGGATGATTTTATCCTGAGATCCTTAACTAACTGTATCCCCAAAAACCCTGGTTTCAAATAAGATCCCATTCTGTGATGATGGTAAATGTCAATTTGTGGGGAAGAGGGGATACTCTTCAACCCAGTACACTTGCATTATATTTTATGTGCTTTTATTTATTTCTTTGGCTGAAGTGCATTGCTTGCAGGATCTTAATTCCCCGACCAGAGATCAAACCTGGGCCCAGCAGTGAAAGCCCTGAGTCCTAACAGCTGGATCGCCGGGGAATTCCCTGTGTGGTTTTAGTTTTATGCTCTTCATTGCTGTTTTATGATGCAGTCACCCCTCAGAATACTTGAGGGGTTGTTTCTAGGAGCCTTGAGGATACCAAAATGCCCGGATGCTCAAGTCCCTCTTATTATTAAGTGACATACTACAGTGGGCCCTCCATACCCTCGGGTTCTACATCTGGGGATAAGGGGGCTAAATGTTTATCTGCTGGAAAAAATTCTAGTATTAGTGGAGTCTTACAGTTCAAACCCGAGTTGTTCAAGGATCAGTTGTACTTTTTTGAGTAACTTTTAAACAGATTTAATAGATTGAATAAAAAGTCTTTTTTGCTATCTTGTTATAAAACACTGAAATTGATAAGAAACAGGTTTTTGTTGCATGTGCATGTATTCTTAGTAGCTCAGTCGTGTCCAATTCTTTGTGACCCCTTGGACTGTATCCTGTCAGACTCCTCTGGCCAAGGAATTTTCCAGGCAAGAATACTGGAGCAGGTTGCCAGTTTTCTACTTCAGGGGATCTTTCTGACCCAGGGATTGAACTGGCGTCTCCTGCATTAGCAGACAGATTTTTTTTACCTCTGAGCTACCTGGGAAGCCTATTAGAGTGGATTTATTTTCTCATACAGGAGAAAGGTCATAGTAGCAAGTGCCTGGCACATAGTGGGTGCAGGTACTCAATAACTATTTCTTAAATAAATGAATGAAATTTTAGAGTAAGTCTTATTAGTTTGCAGAATTGTCTTTTTTTTTTTTCAAAATTGTAAGACTGTGAATCAAGGGTTCCACTTACATGTTCAACTTCTATTTGTATTTTATTAAAAGGATATTTATTTAGTATTATTATATATGTAATAGGCTTTTGAAGATTATCTTTTAAAAAAATAATCACATTTTACTTACCATTTTTGGAAAAAGGATAGTTTTTGAGACAGACATGGGTTCCTATTTTTATGTTGTCGGTCACTAGCTATGTAACTTTGGGCAAGTTATTTCATCTTCCTGTACCTCAGTTACTTGTAAAGTGTTGTTAATAATGCTGGTCTTCCAGGCTTGGGAGAGTTAGAAGCAGTATGTTTGGGTATGAAGTGGGTATGTCATGAATATTAACTAGTGAGTTGTATACCTTAAATATGTATTATAAATCAACTAGATTTATATTTTTTAAAAATAGTAATCATTTAAAAAATCTGATTTCAAATTAAGTCAGATAAACCCGTTTTTTACCTTTTTGCTCTTCTGTGACTGGATAAGTGTTTCTGTAGTTTTTGGGTAGTAAGTGAAATCTCCTGTCAAGGACTTGGTGCTATGTGTATATACATCTAGCAATATCATGTTGAAAATTAACCAAAGTCAGGAAATGGCTTGAACTTTGGAAGCTAGGAATCTCTGGTGTTGATGGGAGGGGAGGATGGAGCAGGTTAGTGAGACTGAAGCTTATGGGGATAGAAGCCAGGTGCATAGAAATTACAGCTACTTGAAAAAAAGGTGAAAGTGTTAGTTGCTCAATTGTGTCCGGCTTTGTGACCCCATGGACTGTAGCCTGCCAGGTTCCTCTATCCATGGAATTCTCCAGGCTAAAATACTAGAGTGGGTAGCGATTTCCTTCTCCTGGGGATCTTCCTGATCCCACCCAGGTATCGAGCCCCATCCTCCTGCATTGCAGGCAGATGTCTGAGCCGCCAGGGAAGCTATTGTTTAGTACTTACTGTGGACCTGGACAAAGGCAGGGCACTGAATCTAACTGTATAAAAGGGACAAATCAAAAAGCTGAGATAAAATTGGCTATATAGGATTAATCAGAAACTTTAGGACTGATTAACTAGGAATGGGGAGACATTTGGGAGCAATGGAAGATAAATAACCTTAAATAGTAATAGTCATCGTTTCTTCATAAAGAAATTACTGTGCTGGGCATGATGGAAAGTGCTTTACAAGCCCTACTTCATGTCACCCTATGGAGTAAGTAATATTGTTATTTTGAATACAAAGTTGCAATAATTTAACTTGTTCAAGTCAAAGTTTAGTAATTAGAGAGCTTTCCACATAGCTGTTGCTTAGGACTTTGCTTCATTAAATTACTGGGAGTTGTCTTCTTTTTCGCCTATATTGGATCCCTTCTTTACTGAATACCATCTTGGTTTACTTCTTGATTTTGTTGGAATATAAATTCTCCACTAGATCCTTAGAAAAGACTTTGCCACTATTAAAAAAAAAAGATCTAAATTCTGTTATAACCATTGATTATCTGGGTATAACATTCAAAATTGAAAGGTAATCACTAAAATTTTTTTCTTATTTTTAAAAATAGAAACTACATGCTTATGAACCAAAATTTAAAAGGTTCAAGGGCTTATAGAGAAAGCATGTCTAACATGAGGGAGGTTTTTGGAATGAGGAAACTGTTCTGTATCTGATTATAACAGTGATGACACCAATTTCCACATGTGTTAAAATCCATAGAATTGCACACCAAAAGAGAAAAGCTCAATTTGTATGTATGACAGATTAAAAAACGAAAAGTAATAAGAGAATTTAAAGTAGAGAACAATAAGGAAGTTGCTTTCTTTCTCTCTGCCTTAGCCTTCCAACTTTCCTTTCTGGAAGAAACCACAGTTACTAGTTTCTTATGTGTCTTCCCACTTGAAAGTCAAAGTACTAGTCACTCAGTCATGTCTGACTCTTTGCAACCTCATGGACTTGAATCTGCCAAACTCCTCTGACCATGAACTTCTCCAGGCAAGAATACTGGAGTGGGAAGCCATTCCCTTCTATAGGGGGTCTTCCCAACCCAGGGATTGAACCTGAGTCTTCTGCATTGTGGGCAGATTCTTTTCCATCTGAGCCACGAGGGAAGCCCAAACTTAATCACTCTTAAACATTCAGGAGTAAATCAGGCAGAATTGAAAGGAACTTGGATTTGCTTAAGTATATTTGGAGAATGCTAAGATTTCTACTCTTAGAATAGTTCTAAATATGTTATTAACCAAACCTGGCACTAATTTATTAAAATTATTTCTCCTACAGTTGGCAAACATGAATTGACTGGGCATAAAGTTGCTGTGAAGATACTGAATCGGCAGAAGATTCGAAGCCTTGATGTAGTAGGAAAAATCCGCAGAGAAATTCAGAACCTCAAGCTTTTCAGGCATCCTCATATAATTAAACTGTAAGATCTGATTATATTAAGTATAGTCATATCATTTTTTCATCATTTTTGTTAACCTGATTAATCCGACAAGTGAGAAAGATGAGTGACATTTCTTCAGTTTATTCCTGAGAGTTTTAGAAGTTCTTCCTGTTCATGTATTTATCTAACCCCATTCATGGTCACTTAAGCCCGAGTCCACATTTTGCCCTTGTGTTTATCAGCTGTTATATTTCTTATTTTCTGAGCTGATGTCCTTTTGATAGATGACTTTCAGTGCCCACCTATTGCTATAGAACCAACAGTGATTTGCAAAACAAAAACGCCTGACCTCCAAATTTCCACGTGACATCAGTTAGCCTCACTAGAGACAATACAGTAGAAAGTCTCCCCAACTCCCGTACACTGGTTCTATCTGACAAAACAAATAATCAATAGAATTTTAGAAATCCAAATTTCAAAAGGCAGTAGTACTACTGTTGTTTTACACTTGCCAGTTTTAGGGTCTACAGATAACTTATTTACTGCTTGGCTTCATTATGCAGACTATAAATTAAAACTGTTTAGGCTTTTGTATTGAACTGGCTGATTCAAAGTTTGTTTCACCCTCACCTCTTCTCATTTGTTGAAGTGCCATGGTTTTAAATACCATCTTCGTGCCGACAGCCCTTAAGTAAACATCTGCTTTGAAACCCATTCCCTGGATTTCAGACTCTGCCCGCTGCCCATTTTACATCTCCATTTGGGTGTGCACGAGGCACGCGGAACTCAGTGTGGCTAAACCTGAGCTCTCTGTTACCCTCCCGAACCTGGTCTTCGACGGTTTTTACCATCTCGGCTGATAATCTGGTTCCTCAGGGCAGAAACTTACCAACTATCCTTAACTTTACTATTTCTTTCACTTCCCAACCTCCATTCCATCTCTTCCTGCAAAAATATATCTAGGATCTGATTCCATTTCCTTCATTGTCATCAACCCGGTGTGGGCCCCCTTCATTTCTCTCATGCACTACTGCAGTAGCCACCTACTTCTACCCTACTGCTCAGGCAGTTCTTCACATTGCTGCCATCAGTCAAAGTTATTACCCTTTTAATCGGTCAGGCCACATGACTGCTTTGCTTAAAACCTTCATTAGCTGTCTCTCTGCCAGAGAATAAAAGCCACAGCCTCATCATGGCTTTGTAAGGTTCTGTGTCCCCTGGTACTAGTTGCCTCTTTGACCCCACATCCTGTTTTCTCTCTCCCGGCTCACTCAGCTCCAGCCTTCCCACCATTGCTCAAACACGCCAGGCAGGCTTCCTCCTGCGGGCCTTTGCACTTGCTGTTCCCTCTGCCTGGTTCACCTTCTTGGTATTGGCATAGTTTATTCCCTGATGTGCATTAGGCTCTGTTACATGTTACTTTATCAGAGAGGCCTTCCTTGGACACCCTGTATGAAAGATTTCCCTTAGTTTGCTTTATTTCTCTTCATAGCATGTTCCACCACCTGAGAGATTGCTTTTTTATTTAGTGTCTGTTTCCTGGCTCCTGGAAAATAAACTCCGTGAGAGCAGAGACTGTTTTGCTCACTGCAGTTTTCCCAGCGTCCGGCACAGTGGCTGCTGTTACTGGCGCTTAGTAGACCTTTACGGAACGAGTGAATGGACGTGTTTTAATGCTGGCAGGCGATGTTTTCTCTCACCAGGTACCAGGTCATCAGTACACCTTCTGATATTTTCATGGTGATGGAATATGTCTCAGGAGGAGAGCTATTTGATTATATCTGTAAAAATGGAAGGGTAAGCAGTTCTGATTTCATCCTGTATATATTTTATAACTCCCCTTATCCTTTACGGGCATCAGAATATTAGAAAGCAGTTCTGTTAAGAGTTCTATTTAATAACCAGTCCCCTTAGTCACATATTTGCCTAGAATCATAGACTTGTTAGAGCTAGGAAGGATCTTAAAGATTTTATCCTTAGCCTACTTACACAGATATGGAAACTGAGACTCATGGATTTTTTTTTTTTGCTCAGGGTCACTTGATTTATCGTGATAGGATTAGATTGAGACCCTAGAACTCATGATCTTCAGACTTGGCTCCTGGGGCATACGAGTACTTGTAATATATATCTTAAAGTATGTATTTAATCCTTAAAAAACATATTATTTGATACTTAGAAATCTGGGCCTTGCTAGTCAACCCTAGTTACATTTAAATTGCATTCATGTTTTGGTTTCAGAAATCTGATGTACCTGGGATAGTAAGAACAGGCTCCATGAAGGAGGTAGGAATTAGACTTAAAGAATTTAGAGTTGGAAGGAACTTTAGAAGACATTTTGAACAGTATCTCAAGTTACAGATACAAAAACAGAACATTGCCCCTGCCGTACTTTTTCTCATACCCAGAGTATGTGGTATGCAAAAACCTCTTCTGGAGGAGCCTCATCAAGCACTGAGAAGTCAATTGTTTTCCCTCCCAATCTAAAGTTCTTTATATCATTCATTCATTTTGTTCTGCGTAGCGTATCTGTTCACTTTCATCAAAATCAAAATCACTAACCAAGTTAATTTTGATTTTACCATTTCTTAACATGATTCATTTCAATTTCAGGTATTCCACTTGTCTTTTCACCCCCTGCTTCTTCCACCGACCCCCTGCCCTCATCCCTGGCACCAATGTTCTGCCTAAAAAAATGGAAAAAGACACAAGTTGAATTGGTGTCTTGCTTCTTATCTTTTCCATGACCTGATCATTTGCTTTACATTATGGGAATTGTGCTCAATTTTACCCATTGTATACTAAAATTCCAGCTGTCATTTTTTATTTCTTTCTTGTTTGTGAAGTTGTCTTTCTTTAAATAGCCTATTTTTTTTGTTCCACAGAGATAATAAACATCTGTTTGAGAATGCCAGTTTCTTTAAATTTTTTTTCTTTTCTTTCCTTCATTGCTTCTGTACCTTGTGTGCGCCCTGCTTTTTTCTGTTCATTTTATTGGTCTTTGCCTTTTGTGCATGACCCTTGCTTAGATATCTGGGGATTGTGGGTTGTCCACTCATATTTGAGAGTGAAATTCTAAATGCCAAGGTCAGGAGGGTGGAATTTATTAATTGATGGACCTTCCCATCGGTTGAATGGGTAGGGACCTGTCTGTTTTACTAGGGAACACCAAATGTCAATAATAAACAATATTTTTTCCTTGCTCAGATAGTTGCTCCAGAAGAAACCTTCCAGTTTCCCTGAGGGTGTGAGCTTAGCTTAGCTCTGCGAGCTAAATGGGGAAAGGCCCACAAGGTTCACTGATTACCATGCTGACTTTCATTTAAGCCCCATGTTCTCCATGTGGTGCCTCATTCCTGCTCTAGTGTCCTTGAGGAACAGGGCTGGTTTAGCCTTACTAAAGAGTAAATCATGGCTCTTATTCCCCAGTAAGGGTGGTGAGCTTAAAACTTCTCTCTTCAATCAGCTGCCCTGTTTTCAGTCCATTTCTCACTTCTACCATCAGAAATTCCCAACACTTCCAATATCTAAGCCCTTCAGGAAGTCTGTGTGCGGATGGGTTTATCATTGAGCTCCATCCCTAAAGGCTTAGGTTTCCGCTTTCTGTGGTTAGCCAAGTCTTTATCACTGGTCATCTACCCTCTCACTTACTGACTCCCCTCAGTTACTGCCCTGCCTTCTCTTGCTCTTTTGTCTTTATATGCTGTCATCTTAGTGATGTTCCATCTTCCATGTTTAAATGGAAATATGCTTTGACTTTTCTAGTCTTTCTCTATAGACTTCCCCTCCTTGGTCCTTTGTACTGTATTTATTATTAATATAGTATTGAATATAACTTTCATTTTTGTAGCCTAACTAGTTGTTTTACCTCTTGTATTTTGTTTATTCAGTTAATTTTCTTTTCTTTCACATTTAGAACACATTGTTCTTTTTATTTAGTATATTTAGATATGAAGTCGTATTAGAAAATGAACCTATATTTCTTTTAGAAGTAAACTAGATTGCTAATCATTATTACCTGCTCTTGAGGAAGGGTATCTCTTATCTCTTTGATAGTTTTGGTTTTGCTTTCAAAAGAATTTACCGGTTCATCTTCCAGATTATCTATTACCATTTAAGGTGTAGGAAACTGGTTTTAGAATGCTAATTTGTGACCTGTGTTAAAGAACTGCATGTTAGAGTCCTTTGCCTAGAGGATTAATAGCTTGTTTATTAAATATGACTTCTTGGGAGCAGGCATATCCAAGTAATGGTTTTCACTTATGGAAAAAAATCATAAAATAAGAAAATATAGATAAATGGAAGAAGTTTTTAAAAAATATTTTTTAAAATGTGGTACAGCATAACATATAATTTTTTCAGTAATCGGAGTAAAGATAAATGCTGTTATATTTTATAAAGGCTTCCCTCGTGGCTCAGCTGGTAAAGAATCCGCCTGCAATGCAGGAGACCTGGGTTTGATCCCTGGGTTGGGAGGATGTCCTGGAGAAGGGAACAGCTATCCACTCCACTATTCTGGCCTAGAGAATTCCATGGACTATATATAGTCCATGGGGTCACAAAGAGTCAGACACTGAGTGACCTTCACTTTCACTATATTTTATAAAAGAAATGAATTAGGGTTTTTCTTTTTTTTAAATTAAAACACCTTTTAGTTCAGAAGACAGGATAACATGGTTGCTTGCTAATTCATTAACAATGCTTAAATGTTGCTTTCTCATATGGTTCAAACCAGTATTCCCCACCCCAACATAATGCTCTGTGCCGTTGTCCTGCTTTGTTTTTCTTCAGAACACTCTTTCTTTTTATTTATGTGTCTGTTCTTTAACTAGATTAGGGCCTTTTTTTAATCACTGCTATATCACGAGTGTCTAAAACAGTGCATGGCACATTGAAGGTATTATATTTGCTAAAAGAATCAAAGAGTAAGTATTAGTAATTTATAGGAGAAAACATGCCTAGTTTCAAGTAAAAATTGAAATTGTTTGAAATAGCACATGATATTTAGATGAGAACAAGCTGTTACAGAGTATAGTCATGAGAGTGATAATATTAGAAAATTGACTTACTGATTTGAGTTCTAAGATCCTCCTAGCATTTCTGTTTTATGTTGCCTATACCATCTCCCCATTTGAAAAGCATCTCATGAGTGAGGTTCATTTGGAAGATTCTTGCATTTTCACAGTTTTATAGGCTAGAGAATTATAGATAGACTACTTTCTTTTGAAAGACACACCTTTAAGTTGCCTCTCTACTTTTTCTTAGCTGGATGAAAAAGAAAGTCGACGACTGTTTCAACAAATCCTTTCTGGTGTGGATTACTGTCACAGGCATATGGTGGTCCACAGAGATTTGAAACCTGAAAACGTCCTGCTTGATGCACATATGAATGCAAAGATAGCTGATTTTGGTAAGGAGATTTTTATAGTTTCATATGTTCATTATGTTTAACAAACATCAGTAGGTTTTTTCAGGTAACTTGTATATAATCAACTGAATATCCCAAAGTAGTATATCCTCACTATTAGTATAGGAACATACAAAAAGGAGTAAAAATAAGGAATTCTCTTTTCATAGCTTTATGTCTTTAAAATTGACTTTTATTACATTAGGCAGACAATTTAAATTGGCAGCATTAGCGACATCATCTGAAAAGAGACCATTATTTGTGAAGGAGAAGTTAGCAACCTATTTCCATGTGTTCTTTTTGATCAACTATGGAGCAAGAGGAAGAGACTGGGCTGAAGTTACTCGGACTTTGAAAGCCAGAAGGCAAACCATGTGAACAAAATTATTTTTAAAAAATGAAAGTAAAGTATTTTAAATGATAGAAAAGCATAATTTCAGCTTGAGGAGAATGTAATTAATTTTCCTATATAAATTGCCATTGACATTATTAAACCTAAGATAAAAATGAATCTCTGCAACTCTCTCTTGCTTAGTTTCAGTTCAGATCAGAGGAGATGCTTATAAATTTTATTTTCTTCAGTTTTGTATATATGATCTATTTTAGAGATTCACTAAATAGTTCCCAACACCTCTGAGCTACTGAGATTTTTTAAAAATAACTGACTAAGTTATTTGACTTCCTTATTCTTTAGTTGTTATTATTTTTATTCACTGTATTTTTGAAGAAGAAGAGTTTTCTTTTCCTATTTTTCTTTTTTTGGCTGCACCTGTGATTTCCAAAATCATTGCAGATGGTGATTGCAGCCATGAAATTAAAAGATGCTTACTCCTTGGAAGGAAAGTTACGACCAACCTAGACAGCATATTAAAAAGCAGAGACATTACTTTGTCAACAAAGGTCTGTCTAGTCAAGGTTATGGTTTTTCCAGTAGTCATGTATGGATGTGAGAGTTGGACTATAAAGAAAGCTGAGTGCAGAAGAATTGATGCTTTTGAACTATGGTGTTGGAGAAGACTCTTGAGAGTCCCTTGGACTGCAAGGAGATCCAACCAATTCATCCTAAAGGAAATCAGTTCTGGGTGTTCATTGGAAAGACTGATGTTGAAGCTGAAACGCCAGGATTTTGGCCACCTGATATGAAGAGCTGTCTCATTTGAAAAGCCCCTGATGTTGGGAAAGATTGAAGGCAGGAAGAAAAGGGGATGACAGAGGATGAGATGGTTAGATGGCATCACCGACTCAATGGACATGAGTTTGGGTGTAAACTCTGGGGATTGGTGATGGACAGGGAGGCCTGGTGTGCTGCAGTTGTTGGGGTCGCAAATAGTTGGACACGACTGAGCGACTGGACTGAACTGAACTGTGATTTGCAGGATCTTAGTTCCCTGACCAGGAATTGAACCTGAGCCATAGCAGTGAAAGCGCTGAGTCCTAACCACTAGACTGCCAGGGAATTCCTGAGTTTTTTATTTTTGTAGTAGAAGTATGAAGGAACTTGGATATTAAAAATTACTATATATATATATATATATATTTTTTTTTTTTGTGAAGAATCAGATCAGGGGTTAATAGAAACTCTGAATTTTAATTCCAGTCTACATTTTTTCCCTAGTAATTTCTTTATTAATAAAACATGCCCAGTTTTTTTTTTAAGCTTTTTATTTTATATTAGAGTATAGCCAGTTGACAATGTTGTGATAGTTTCAAGTGGACAGCAAAGGGACTCAGCCATACATACACATGTATCCATTCTGTCCCAAGCTCCCTTCTCATCCAGGCTACCACATGACACTGAGCAGCATTCCCTGTGCTACAGCAGCATCGTTGGTTATCCCTTTTAAATACAGCAAGAGCATACATGTCGATCTCAAACTCCCTATCTCTACCCCCTGTTATTCCTCACCTGGCAAATATAAGTTCGTTCTCTAAGTCTGTGAATCTTTAACTTGCCCAGTTTATTCTAATAAGCACAATAACTAATAGCTCAATATGTACTCACTGAACTCCTGACCTTGCACTAACTTTAACTGTTGAAACAGATTACAAGTTTTATGGCATAAAGGCAGAATATTTGGAAACAATAAAGGATGTAGGATTCTGTTGAAAGAAAGAACAAAATGATGATTTATCACTTTAATGCAAACTCAGTTTTATTGTTTAATGGAATTTTGTTTTTATTTTTGTCCTTGGGAAATCTTGAGCGGTGAATTTTGTGCATTTTCAGGTCTTTCAAACATGATGTCAGATGGTGAATTTTTAAGAACAAGTTGTGGCTCACCCAACTATGCTGCACCAGAAGTAATTTCAGGAAGGTAGTGTTTGACACCTCCTCCCTGCCCAGTATATTTGTAACCATATTTTTCTTCTAGACTTCGTTAGTCTGTAGTATAATACTCAATTCTAGTGAAAGAAATTTAAAGCTTATTCTTTTCTCATCCAAAAAGTGTTCTAAGAATAAAACATTATAAGTGAGTAAGGATTAAGAACTCCATTTATAGAGGAGGATATTGGTTTGTAAGTTAATATAATATTAGTTAAATGAGAGTACTTTCATTTTTTTCCCCTGGTGGAAGAAATTGAAGGCTTAAAAACTAGCAAGTTTAAAAGTGAGACATTAAAAACTTGAATAATACAGAAATAGCTAGTAGTAAGAAATGGTTTACTATTTGCTTAGATGAAGAATTTAAAGTGTAATGTGTAGCTTTAATTTTTCAAATTAGCTTTAGCTTTTATGATAAGGTATTTTGGGGAATTGGACTGAAGTATTGATAAGAACTTCAGATTTCATTTATTTTTAATTTTCATTCTTTAAATCTTCTAGAGACTAAAATAAGAATTCTAGTCTCTCAGTTTATTTATACTAACTGCCAGCATTGAGAACATGAAGATCTTAGTATAAGGCAGCTTTTTGAATAGTTTATGTAACAGTAAAATTTACTTTTTTGAAGAGGAATTGTTCTTCATTATACTACTGAAATAGAAAACAGAGAAGCTAAAGTTTGTTTACTAGTTTTTATAATTAACTTTTAATAACTTTTCATTCAAACCTTATTTCTTTGTTTGAATGTCTTACATCCGAATTTAGAATGCAGAAATATTGTAGTATTTTCTTTCTATTTTCATAAGCTAGCTAGCCTAGCCTACACAGAGAAATTATGTTTGTGTTAAGGCATGGATATGAATAATGCAAAAATATCTAATTTTAGATTTATCAAGGTTCATCATTGTCTTTTTATATTAGCAGGTGAATGTTAAAATTATTTCATGTGGACTGTGTAAATTATTTGGGGAAGAAGACAATTCAGGACCTGGATTTTGGGGGCATTGTTCCTTAACTAAACAAAAAGATATACTAATTGTGCCTATATATAATGGACCATTACTGAAGTCTGTTTTCCCAGTTTGGATAAGGTCTTTCTGTGTGGTCTAGATGTATGGAAACCTCTACTTTCAAACCAGTATTTATTAGTCAGTTCAATAATTTATTTGACCAGTTTAAAGAAATCCTTTCCCTGAAGCCAGACTTTGAATGGGTTATCTAGTTAGTCTGCAGCTAATTGTCAGTAGGGCTTCTCTGATGGCTCAGTGGTAAAGAATCCACCTGCTCTGCAGGAGACCTGAGTTCGATCTTTGGGTCAAGAAGATCCCTTGGAGTAGGAAATGGTAACCCAGTCCACTATTCTTGCCTGGGGAATTCCATGGACAGAGGAGCCTGACAGGCTACAGTCCATTGGGTTGCAAAAGAGTTGGACATGACTTAGCAACTAAATAACAATGACAGTTAAGTCAGCAGGCTACAGTACAGTGCAAATAAGAGTTTAAAGTCCTCTGCAAATCAGTTAGCTGGGCTTCATTCCACAGCTTCAGGCACCTTTTACCTCGGTATAAGGTCTTGGGTTATTGGGGAGAGTGGGTTTATAGTCCATCACTACAGAACATTCCCAGTTGAGGAAAGATCACTTGATCTGTAACCAAAAAACAGTGGTTTTAAATTTAGTAATGATATGTTTTTTCAAAGTTTGGCCCTATTGGTTGGATATCATGAGGACAATTGTAAGGTAGTAAGGAGAGAATTTTAGCTATAGTCTATAACTTTAAAAAAATTCTTAATTTTTGTTTTCCAAGATAATACTGATAGAATTAGTGTAGAATCTCTATGTGTAGTACATAGCAGTGACTTACAGAAACCATATTCTGACTAAGAATTCTTTATGAAGTATCTGTATGTAAAATGTATGATTAATTAATTCACTCTTAAGTTACTGATGCTTGTTTAACCCAGTTGGTATTTCCTGTTGCAGACTGTATGCTGGTCCAGAGGTGGATATATGGAGCAGTGGGGTTATTCTCTATGCTTTATTATGTGGAACCCTTCCATTTGATGATGATCATGTGCCAACTCTTTTTAAGAAGATATGTGATGGGATCTTTTATACCCCTCAGTATTTAAATCCTTCTGTGATTAGCCTTTTGAAACATATGCTGCAGGTGGATCCCATGAAGAGAGCCACAATCAAAGATATCAGGTGATAAAGCAACCTGACTGTCAGATCTAACAGTATCAGTGATATAAGTCAAGTGAAAGAGAAATTTGCAGAACAGTATGTACAGTGTAATCCCGTTTTTATATTAAAAATAGTTTATAGACTCAAACTTATTTTATCTTGATATTTAAAAATACTAAACTGGCTACCTTAGGAAGTAAGATTAGGAGGAAAGGCTTTCACTTTTTGCTTATGCTTCTTTATTTTTTTGAAATTGTAACTGTGAACATTATATTACTTTTTAAATTTAAAAAAAGCTAATGAAAAAAAAAAGGACCTTAGTAGGGTATTAGATTTGGTAGTGATTCTCTAAGATTTTCTGTAATATGCTTCATGTTTGACTTTTACACATTCTCATACTTTTTCATAGTAAATGTGTATGTTACTTTTTGAGTTCTCATCTTACAAGTTACTGTATTTTTTCCTTTTGTTCATCTCAAGGAATGAGAAAATTTTAATTCAATCAATGACATGTTTGTTTTTATAGTAGTATACATTGAATTACATATGAAATTACTGTTTTGTAAGTAAAAAAAGTCCAACAATATTGCCAGTTTCATGTGGTTCAACCTAATAGTTTAAATAAGGCAAAAGTGATGATGACAAATCTCAAATTTAAGCAGGTTGTTTCTGATGAAGATAATACTGCAAACTTTGTTTCTTCTACCATTGTTTTTCTTTCCTTTTTTCGTTAATGGAAATTTCTCTTTTGGTCTTCTAATGTCTATATAGAATATTTCTCTGAGATGGAAGGAGAAGGATGAAAGAAATCAGATAGGTATCTGAGACTAGTAAAGAAGAAAGTATTAGGGCAATGAAGAAGAGCATGTGTAGAACTTAAAGTTTGATTCTTAAAACAGATAAACAATAAGGACCTACTTTATAAGCACAGGGGACCCTATTCAATACTATGTAGTGACCTGTGTGGGGAAAGAGTCTAAGAAGGAGTGGATATGTGTGCAACTGATTCACTGTGCTGACAGCAGAAAGTAACACAACATTGTAAACCAACTACAGTTTAAAAAAAAAGCTTATTCCTTTCCAATTACTCCATGTTCTGCAGATTAAAAAAAGAGAATGAATGGCAGGTCATGGCTTTACTACTAGAGGAGGAGGACTGATCCATCGCTAAAATTTATATTTCAGAATATCTTAGTTAGAGGTGGTTTTCCTTGTGTTTTACATATTTTTTTCCCAATTTAAATGAAATGTGTGACAATTGGAAAAGACTTAGAAAACACCAAAAACATTAGAGAATTTAAATGATCTTTAATTCCGTTATCCAGAAGATAATCTTTGTTCTTTGGGGTGTTTCCTCTCAGTATTTTTAGTTTTAGCATATTTTTATATAATTCAAGTCAAAAAGTATCTTTTTATATATAAAATTAGGAAATCCTCTGTTCCTTCATTAAAATAAGGGGATATTATTATCTTATTGGAGTTGTTTGAAAATGAGGTGAGATAACAGATATGAAATGTTCAGCCTAAAATCTACCACATAGTAAGTATTTGATGAGTGAAAGCTGTCTATTTTTGTTGTTACATATATTTTTTCACTTAACATTATATCCAAAGAGGAAGCCACAGACTAATTTTATTCTTTTCTGAACTGGAAATAAGATGGTCTTTACCATTAGTATGTCATTGCCATTTGTTCCAAAAATTTAAAGTGTAGACACTTCTTCTGGTTGCTCCAGTAGTGTTCTCTCCCTCTTACTATCAGAGGAAGGCTGGAGCATTTCTGTTATACAGTGAAATGTGAGCCAAAAGAGAAAAATCTGTTTTAAAAAAATGATAACACAGTATGAATATAAATATAAATAGTAATACTGCATGAGTATAAATTCCCCCAAACAGTTACTTTCAGCCTCATCTCTCCTCCAAACGCTTCTGACACCTACCATTTTCTCTCAGGGAACATGAATGGTTTAAACAGGACCTTCCAAAATATCTCTTTCCTGAGGATCCATCATATAGCTCAACCATGATTGATGATGAAGCCTTAAAAGAAGTATGTGAAAAATTTGAGTGCTCAGAAGAGGAGGTTCTCAGCTGCCTTTATAACAGAAATCACCAGGACCCTTTGGCAGTTGCTTACCACCTCATAATAGATAACAGGAGGATAATGAATGAGGCCAAAGATTTTTACTTGGCAACAAGCCCACCAGATTCGTTTCTTGATGATCACCACTTGACCCGGCCCCATCCTGAAAGAGTACCATTCTTGGTTGCTGAAACTCCCAGGGCGCGCCATACCCTCGACGAATTAAATCCACAGAAATCCAAACACCAAGGTGTAAGGAAAGCAAAATGGCATTTGGGAATCAGAAGTCAAAGTCGGCCAAATGATATCATGGCAGAAGTTTGTAGAGCAATTAAACAACTGGATTATGAATGGAAGGTAAGAAAGAAAGAGCATTCTGATTATTAGCACATTTGACAAACCTATCATGTTTTACAGAAGAATTCCTTTTCACTTTGTTTTTGTCCATTCCATGTGGTAGGTTGTAAACCCGTATTATTTGCGTGTTCGGAGGAAGAATCCTGTGACAAGTACATACTCCAAAATGAGTCTGCAGTTATATCAAGTGGATAGTAGAACATATTTATTGGATTTCCGAAGTATTGATGGTATGTACATCATACAGAACAGTCTAGACAACATATTAGACCTTGTTACTTAATTTGGCATTTTAGTAAATCTTTGAGTCTTTTGAAGCTTCTTGAATTGTACCTCGTAATTCAATAGCAAGAGAACATAAAAGCACCTTTTAGATTTGAATATTTGTGAACCTTGGAAATAGTTTATTGTCCTTTTAAGACTATCTTCCAAAATCCTTAAAGCCTTATACAGCTTTATCCTCAAGTGATAGTTTGTTACTTTTTTGTTTCTTGTAGTTCATTTTGGTAAGATGAAATGCTTTATTTAGAATAAATGTTGACTTTGCTGTTAAAGTCAATAGCATTAAAATAAAAAAATATCTGATATTTAATAAAATTCATTGAAGTTTTAGAGTACAGAGCTTCCGTTGTGGCTCAGAGGTAAAGAATCCACCTGCCAATGCAGGGTTATTTCCCTCGGTCGGGAAGATCCCCTGGAGAAGGAAATGGCAACCCACTCCAGCATTCTCGCCTGGGAAATCCCATGGACTGCCTGCTGGGCTACAGTCCGTGGGGTTGTAAAGAGTTGGATGTGACTGAGCATGCATGCACACAGCTGTGTACATATAAATGTTCTCTCACAAACAGAATCTTTAAGTAGATGTGTTTATGGCTATTCTTCATTGGCCAAGTCAATTAAGATATGTTGCCACTTTTGTTCACTTATGAGATTTACCCATGACTTTGTCTTCTTTATAAACTCAAAGACAGTACTTACATAGTATCAGAAAGACACAGCTTTAAGCTGTGATACGTTGGCCAAACCTGTTCGTGTTTATGTCCAGATGGTATTAACAATGCAGTTTGAGATACAGAGTGGGTTTAACTTTTTTCCCATTGTATTTGGATTAAATTTGTAGCCTTAGGTTTATTAGTACCTGGGTTTACCAACCGAATGACCATTTACTGTTTTTATGTTGTGTTTCTAATTTTAGCTTTTCCTTGATTTTGTTCATTGGAATTGTTGCTCTTTTATAAGATATATGAAGACAAAGTAAGAGCCTGAGATGAGCGTTAGTAGACTTAGTTTTAAGATTTACCTCTCTGTTCACTTGTTACCTGTGGCAAGTCACTTAACTGTTAGGGGTTTATGTTTTCTTATCAATAAAGCAAGGAATTAGATGAGATGATTTCCAAGATTCAAATTTTAAGTACACATATTTTATTATTGTAATATAGAAAGGTTGAATTTTGTTGCTAGTGAATGATGTTTATTAAGCCTCATTATTAGTTCATTGAGCTCTTAATCCTGGATTGCAAGACTGATGAGTAGCCAAATATGTACGCAATCTTACTAAGTCATCAGGGGAATACATTACTGTGTATAAAAGAGGCAAGTGGTATAACATAGATTCATTGCCTCTGTTATAGGGAGTATTCAAAACAAACATGCTCTTGATAGCTGGTCTCACTTAAAGAAGCAAATTAAATACTGTTAAAATTTTGGGAAGGGTGTCATGGATTAGAATAAATTGAATTTTTTTTTTACCCAGATGAAATTACTGAAGCGAAATCAGGGACTGCTACTCCACAGAGATCGGGCTCAGTTAGCAACTATCGAGCTTGCCAAAGGAATGATTCAGATGCTGAGGCTCAAGGAAAATCCTCAGAAGCTTCTCTTACCTCATCTGTAACCTCACTTGACTCTTCTCCTGTTGAATTAACTCCAAGACCTGGAAGTCACACAATAGAATTTTTTGAGATGTGCGCGAATCTAATTAAAATTCTTGCACAGTAAACCTAAAACTTTGCTTATTTCTTTGATAGCAATAAGCATGCATAATAAATCATAGCCAAATGCTTCCATGTATAATCAAGTTATACATAATTATAACTGAGGGTTGGCCTTTTGGAATGCAATTTGCACAGAGGTTGAAACATGATTAATAGTTAAAAGCATAATGTGCAAAAATGAATTAAGACAATTTTGTTCATTGTTCAGTAGGCATATAGAATAATATACTATGCGCAATGAATTATAGGTCTCTCAGGCTCACTTGATTTTTTGGCTATTTTATATTTAGTGTATACAGGGCTTTGTAGAATATTAATTTACCATAAAGGCCTTCATATGTTAATTACATGTTGATGTGTTATATATTTACTTCAAAGATTTATTCAATAAATATTTGCCTAGAGACTTCCCTGGCAGTCCAGTGGTTAAGGCTCTGTGCTTCCAGTGTAGGGGGTGCAGGTTTGATCCCTGGTGGGGGAACTCAGATCCCTCATGCCGCGTGGTGCGGCCAAAAACGGAATAAAGAAATATTTGACTAGAATCTCCAGAGACCTTTAGAGGTGATTTTGTTTTCTGGGCTCCTTAATTTAGCAAGTATTTTCAACATTAGGGACAGCCTGGATGATTCTTCCATATCCTCTCCTTAATTTTCTATAGTGTATGGTAAGTCACATTAAAGATACCTGACACAGTTAAATTTTTTTCTTTTAGTTTGGTAAGTGCAAAGACATACAGAACTTATATATTCAGATACTCCAGGCACTAATTTTAATTCTACAATTTGCCCCACTATATTCTGTATATAAATTGCTCTTTTTGTCACAAGAGCTGTGTTGCATATACTGTAAATAAATCATTGGTTGGTTTGACATTTGCCAATATCACAGAGTCCTCTCTCCTAATCATGTCAGTCAGTATTAAATGTATGCAGGAATGTGTGGTCATTCAATCATGTACCTTTTAAACTGATTCAGTGCATAGCACATGTCTTAAAAACCGTTAACTGCTTAGACAGGACTTTTTCTCCTAAATTTCATTATGGCCATTTTTAGAAGAAAAATGAAAGGCTGTAAGGTGATCACATGTGTTATCTACCACTTAGATCCAGTATGTTAACATTTTGCCATATTTATCTATATATCTGTATGTAGATACAGTTATATATATATGTGTGTATATGTATGTGTGTATATATGCTTTTTTCCCCTGAACAACTTGGACATTGCAGATAGACTCATCACGCCTCAAAACGTAAAGCACCTCCTAAAAAATAATGACATTCTCCTAAAAAACCATAATACCATAATACATTCTCTAATGCCATCTAATCATGCATATTTAGATTTACCTCATTGTCATGCAAATTTATTTCAAACCAGGCTCCAACTAAAGTTTACACATTGCATTTGGTTGTCTCTTAGCTATTACCTTATTGTTTTGATAAAATATGGAACAAATTAGTTCTTCTAACTAGTCACATTTGCTTTGGATTTTCATTACTTAAAGTAGCATTATGGGAACTGCTTAATCCTCCTAAGAACTCAGATTTATAATTTCTTTTTCTTGCTCTTAGTGTAATGCATTACATACTAGGTGTAAGAAAAAATTCAGCCACCTCAGATAAAATTTGTATCATGTGTATGCTAATAAAAAAATACTGTCAGTCATAATTGCCTTATATTTTAACTTTAAGAAAGTTTTTTGGTATTAATTATCTTTCCATTGCAACAGAACTCTTCCCCCCCCACCCCTTTTAAGATTCTTGGTATTGTAGTATTGTTTTTGGCACCTATGTAACCTGATGATAATGCTCTCAAATGTCATGATAGCTTGTATAGTTGTAGCTCCAGCATCCCTAGAAACATGCACTGAATTCAAGAGAAAACCTTGCTTCCTTCTGTCCAGGGCTTATTCTATTCAACTTAGAATCAGAAAACTGTATAAAATTATGGGAGTTCCATTTAAATATAAGTTCAAACTGTATTTATAACTTGTATGTGGCCCTCTGTTTTGGAGATACTGACTTCATGTAGGCTCTCTAAGTGCAGCATTATGTTCCTAATGTTAAGAACAGAAGACTGTATTTTTAAAGCTACAGATTTGTATATAGAGCTAAGACATTGCTGTAATGTCTCTGACCTGTTGTGGGGAGTGGGGAACAAAAAGAGGAACCAATTAAATAGGACCTTCTAAAAATTGTTGATTTTGTAAACGGCTTCTTTTTAAGTTATTGTGATTCCTTTAAGTTGCTGGGTTTTATTTTGGATACTTAAATATTGCACTTGTACAAATAGTATGATAAATGCACAGACTATTGCAAGTAGGTTCTTTTGAAGCTGGGATATTTGAAATGACAACTTTTGGTTAAGAATGTCAAGGTTTCATCACAGTTTCCACAAATTTACTGTTGTTTGCAAATTCTTACTAATTGAAGATGTAAGGGAGTCAATGCAAATAATTTTTAATCTTTTTTTTATTATCTTTTCAACAATTTATATTTTTTGTGACTTTATGCAACCATATTTTTACTTTGTCTTGACAACTGAAAGATGTATAAGGCTTTTGCCAGAAATGTACACAGTTTTAAATAACAGATTTTACTGATATGTAAAATTTTTGCCATTAAAATAAATGATTTCTCACTGAGAGGAACTTTTCTACCAGGTTGGGGGTCTGGGGAGCTTAATATATCTAATTTAAGGTAATTTCACTGAAATAAACTCCATTGCTTTTACTTTGATTATATTTTTTCTTTGCATGGCTTTGTAGTTTTTCAGTTTTAAATCATTTTATACAGAAAATTCTGACCTCTCACCCTGCCACCCACCCCCACCCCCCTCTTTTGGCCTTTCAGTGATACCATTCACTCTGAATGATTGGTGGACTATGGGTGGATGTAGAACTCCATGCACCTTTGGAATGAAAGAAAAAAATGTGCTTTAAATCTTTTCCCCTTAACTCCTTCTGAGTCCCCCATCCATAACAGAAATCCTATTTTCATTGTGAGTTTTCTTCACTAGATGAATCAAAGCCTACACACAGCGTAACTATAAATTGGTAGTATGGTAGAAATCAGTCTTTGTGGTACAAGATTTTTGAAGCTTGTTCACGTTTGTCTTGACCAGGGTATACTTAAGGATACAATTTCAAATACTTTGACTTGGAAAATGGAAAATAAAAAATACGATTTTCATTGGTTTACAATGTGGTTAACTTTAGCTTCTGAGGAAACTATGTGGGAAAAAAAAGTTACTTGTTATGGCCAACCATCTGTGTACCTTTTAAACAGTGTGCCTAAATATTAAGTATAGTGCTTGAGCAGATTTTGGCACTTGAGTGTTATGATTTTTGTTTCATCTAAATTAGTGAGCTTTTGTTTCATCTAAAAATTAAACACCTGGACAAAATATTAAATTATATATAACAGAAGAGCAGTTACCTTTGGCTGCTAACATTGGATTTGGTTAGAATTCCACTACTGTTAGAATTCAATCAGTAAAAAACCTTATATGCCATATGGCATTGTTGGCTTGTGTTAGATTGTCAACATTCTGAATCTTTAAAATAACTTGATAATTGAACAACAGAAAACAGTACTAAAGAGTATTATGAACAACACAAGGGTTGTTCTTTTAGGGGACTTATAAATTACTCTAGATGTTTATCCTGACTGAACAAAATTGTACAAGAAATTCTCTTGCCTGAAAAAAATCAATATTTATTGAACTGTTCTATTGTAAAAAGATTGTTCTATTTATTGTAAATGACAATAAATGTTAACTATGACAAATCTAGAGGATTTCTAGCAACTTGGAAGATGATCATGTCTATATAGGCAGCATGGGAAATTATTAAATATATCAATAGGTGCATTATGATGATAGAGCAAAGTAGGGAAGTGGTGGGGGTAGCCTTTACCAGGGTAGAGTGGATCAAGATAGTTATTTGAGAGGTTTGATACAGACTCCTAGAAAGGTGTACAGCTTCAAGCACCATTTACTTATTCACTCTGCAAACTATATCTTCTTGTATAGCTACTATGAACCAAGCACTATGAATGTGACCATAAGGCATAAATCCTGCTCTGAATCCTTAGATACATATATTTTAAAGATTTTTATAGAGGTCTAACATACACAGAGAAGTGCTCAAATCAAATATTTCCCTTGATGAATTTTCAGTGTTTTAGGTTTGCAATGAACATGGCCATGTAAACCTCTACCCAGGTGAAGAAACATTGCCACCACCATACTAGTATCTTTTTATTAATACCAGAAGTGATATAATAAATGATATACTATCACTTCTGCTATATAATTGAGGCAACAGAGAACAATCCTGGTATGATGTGGGAAGTAACAACACAAGAGTAAGTGCAAGGGGTAGGGCTCATAGGTGGCTATCTTGTAGGTTGGCTATCACAATTGCATACTGCTTATTTTGAAAAAACTGGTTCACTTCTGCAGTTCTTATAAATGTCAGAAACATCTAATCCAACAATAAAAAAAATCACATTTGATACCACCACTGATCTCATCAGAAAAGTCTGGGGACTTCCCTTACAGTCTAGTGGAAAAGACTGTGCTTCCACTGCAGGGATTGTGGGTGCATTCCCTGGTTGGAAACTAAGATCCCACATGCTCTGCAGTGTGGGCCCCCCATCCCCCCCAAAAAAGTCTGGAAGTACCAGAAAGCTGGCAAGATTAAGTATGGCAAATACAAGCATTCCAAAGTGGTGTGTTGTTGTTTAGTCGCTAAGTTGTGTCCGACTCTTTGTGACTCCATGGATAACGATAAAATTTTGCAATAATGAGCTCATGGTCTGAGCCACAGTCTGCTCCAGGTCTTTTTGCCGACTATATAGAGCTTCTCCAGTGCCCACTGCAAATATAATCAATCTGATTTCGGTATTGACCATTTGGTGATGTCTACACATAGTCGTCTCCTGTGCTGTTGGAAAAGGGTGTGTGCTATGACCAGTGTGCTCTCTTGAAAAAACGGTTAGCCTTTGCCCTGCTTCATTTTGTACTCCAAGGCCAAACTTGGCTGTTACTCCAGCTATCTCTTGCTTAAATTCTTGAATTTTATTTTTGGCAACACTGTCAATTGTTTTCCTTGATGTAGAACAGGTGCCTTTCCTTCATTTTCAAAATGTTCGTCAGACCCAAGCGTGAATAATCAGCAGGTGTGTCAGTTCTTCTAAGTACAAGTTGTATTCCACAAAAAAAGTATTTGTTTATAATGTAATCTCACGTGTTTTTATAATGTAATCTCACAAGTGCGTTTATCTTGAGACATCACACTTCAACAGAGAGCAAAAGTACTTTGTACCTCCCATTTTTGTCACACAGAATATTCAAAAGACGTGTATACTCAGGGTTAATAAAATGATTTTTACCGCTTCTTTAAGGACACTCAGTGACTGAGTCTTCTTTTTCTTACAATGAATGTGTACTGAGGAAAGAATACAATGACTACTAGGACAGCTTGGTATCGCCACCTTGATTTGTGCTGAGGTGCCAGTGGTTTCAGCCACCATTGCTTTTCCATTCTTATTGCAAATGTCAACATTATGAAAAAGGTAAATGATGTCATGATAGTATGAAAATATAGTTTTGTTTTTAAATTTATTTGGCTGCACTGGGTCTCTGTTGCAGCAGGTAAGATCTTCATTTCGTCATGTGGTATCTGGCACTGTCACGCTCGGCCTGCAGAGCAGGCTGTCTTCAGAGGTTGCAGTGCACAGACTCTGTGGTGTGGCATGAGGGATTTTTAGTTTCTCAATTAGGTACGGAACCTGTGTCCCCTGCATTTCAAGGTAGATTCTAACCCATAGAGAAGTCCCCTAAATACTTCTGACTCTGAAAGGATCTTGAGAACCCTCAGGGGGTCTGAGGCTCAACTTTGGAGAATCATTGTTTCCCATCAGTGGTTCTCAATGAGGCAGGGGAAGGGGACCCATCTTTCTTCCAGGGACTTTGGGCAACTTCTGGAGACATTTTTGGTTGTCAGCACTAGTGGGGTGGTAGTGGATAATGGCATCTAGTGCCCAGGGATACTGCTGAACACCCTGCTGCGCAGAGGCGAATCACCGCCTTCCCCCCACCCAAGAATGATCCAGTTGGAAACGTTACACCCTTGAGGTTGAGAAAACTAGGTCTACAAAAATGAAACCACAACAACACTGAGAAATCAACAATCTCATTTTCTCAATTTCCTAAACACTTCCCTGTGTTACACGTTCCCACTTTACTTATCAAAACAGCTACTTTCGGGCCATAGTTCTTTAGAGACGCTGCATCCAACTTTTTTGCCCCCTCGGCCGCCCTCCCCCGCCGACCCTCCCCCCCCCCCCCCCCCCAGTTGAGCTACGGTCCTCCCCGGTCCTCTCCCCACCCTCATATACTTTTATGGTTCGGTTTGCCTCTGTCCTCAGCGCCTGGCAGATCTCAACTAGCTTGTAAATTCCTTCAGGGAGAGCCGCTCTCGATTTCCCCGAAGCCGTTTTCCGCGCTCTACCTGCTGACTGGATGGGCCTCGCCATACCACCATCGAAGTCTTCTTCACGCGCACTCAGCCTGCGCAGACGCAGTTCCCCTCGCTCCCAAGCTGTGGGCACCAGCGCGCCGATGCTCTCGTCTGCCGCTAGAGGGCGCGCCCGGTCCGGGCGGCCCGGACTACCAGCCTCGGAGGGTAATAATGAGGAGGGGGCGGCCGCAGTGACTTCTGGGACTTGTAGTCCCAGGGAAAAGATTGCGGATGAAAGGCACTAGGTCGCCTCTTTCCACCTCGCTGCACGGATGGTTCGGACGCCCCAGGCCGGCCAAACCCCTCTCTTGGAAGACCCGGCACCTACGGCAAGCGGGAAGGAGGTGGGGCACGATAATTTCCGTTTCCGGTGGGTAAAGGGCAAGCGGAATGTAAACAGGGGACCCGGGGAGTGGTCTTCGGGTAACACAGGCTACCGGTCTGTGGTGGAAGTCGGCGGAAGTTGGGGGAAAACGAGGCTGGTGGGTCTTGGGGTGACGGGAGTAAGGAGCTTCAGAAGTCGGAGTTGAGGCCCACCGCGGGTGTGGCAGAGCCGGGACGCTAAGGTTGGTCTCTAGGGACCAGCAGTTTTGGGGTTCAGGCCCTTCCTGGTACTCGCGCCCCGGGCGGGAGGAGCGGAAGGTAGCTGACTTTGCACCCTGCGCGGACGGGGCCCGTGGCCGGGGCGGGACTCTGAGCTCGCGGGTGACGTCCTGGGCAGCCCTGTGAACTTCGCTGGGTTTTTTTGTGTGTATGTGCCAAATGAGGGGAAGTCGCTAGTACTGGTTTCTCTCTTGCGGTAACGTGTTCGGGTAAATCGTTTCTTGCGGAATCCCTCACCTCCGAATACATCCGTATACGCGGAAGGATGCTGTTTTGCTTGTTTGTGTTCTTGTTTCCTCGCCTTCGTTGCTTCATTTTCCGACGCCCTGAAGAGAAGCGTTCTCTAGCTTGTGGCAGGGTAGAATGTCTGTGTTATTAGGGTTCCCACACTGTGGTGGCTTCCCTGGTGGCTCAGTGGTAAAGAATCTGTCTGCAATGCAGGAGACCCGGGTTCGATCCCAGGGTCGGGAAGATCCCCTGGCGAAGGGAATGGCAACCCACTCCAGTATTTTGCCTGGAGAATCCCCATGGACAGAGGAGCCTGGTGGGCTGCAGTCCATGGAGTCGCAAAGAGCCGGACACAACTGAATGCCTAACACACACTATTTTGTCCCTCACATTGCCGACTTGGAAACTTGAAGCCAGAAAACTTAACCATCCTCATTCTTGTCACCTTTAGGGACAGTGTTAAATGCAAAACTTCTTAACATGACTTATTCTAATAACTTGTGAAACCTTTCTAACGATCCATTCTCATGTTCTTTTTCTGTACTTCTGGACTTAAGTTCCATAGTAAACACACTTAAATTTTCAGGCTTTTTTTGTTGTAGTTGTGCTTTCCCTATGTTATTTGCAGTAATCTTCGAACATAGGAAACGCATTCTCCCCTATTATCATGGGTTTGGGAAGAGGATTTGGCTTTGTCCTCATTCCCTAATATAGTTTATAATCCATTACTCTAGCAGGCTTTTCTAAAAATCTCTGCTCCTGTGGAAAGCTTGTGGTTTACCCCTATCAGCCTATCCCCCAACTAGGGATGGATCCCAAACCCCCTGCAGTGGAAGCATGCAGTCCCAACCACTCGACCCCCAGGGAAGTCCCACCCAGTACATTTCTTGATTGCTGTAGTTTATTGACACTTCATTAAGAACTTAGGCACATGACCCACAATTTTCTTACCTCTCCAAAATCTGCCATTATCTTGGGCCTTTCCGTGTTAGTGACCTCATAGCCACCCACACGTTTTTTTGGTCTCTTTCATCCTAGTGGTTACTTATACTTTATTTCAGTGTGCTTCGGTGATGAAGAGCTTGGTATCTGCTGGAGCTTAATATTTCATTTCTCTCCCTTGGGTACTCCCACCATGCCCATTCTTTGATAGTTGTGTGAAGACCTCTGGTCCATTGCTTTTCCTTATCCCAATAGTTGATACTCTCTTTGGGGTTGTAGGCTCCTTTAAGAATGGAATGAAAGCTTAGAGACTCTTGTGCGGGGTGTGCACAAACATATAAAAATTCATATACAATTCCAAAGATTTCTCAGTATCTATAAACCCATCCATGTAACTAGCAAGAGTTCTTGATCCCTCAGTAAATCCCTTCTCAAAATAAATATTGGTTGAATTCTTTCAGGGTTTTCTTTAACTTTGTTCCATCAGTTAGACTCACTCACTCAGCCCTTATATTTTGTATTATTATTGCAGATTCACAAAGCAGTTTAATATTCGTTATCATTCTGATTAACCGTATAGTTCTGTGAATTAAGTCATTTACCAATTTTGAATCTTTCAAAAACTTTTTATGATGGAAAATTTCAAACATATATGCAAAGAGAGAAGAAAGTAAAAAGACTGCATGTACTCATCACCTAACTTGATCACTTATCAACTCATAGCAATCTTTTAATCTGTGCAGTATCTTATATTGCATTCATCACTCCCAGTGATTACTTTGAAACAATTCCTAGATACCGTGTAATTTCATGTAAAATATTTTAATATGTATTCCTAAAAGATGAGCATTCTTTTTGTCAATATAATACTACTATACCTGAAAAAGCAGGAATTTCTTAATATCATTAAATATGAAGCCATTGTTCTGGTCCCCCCTATTATTTCATAAATTTTTCCTCCCCATTGGCTTGTTTGGTTCTGTAGCTAAACAAGATCCACACGTTGTGTTTGGTTTGTGTGTTTACCCCTTCTCTTAAGTTTCTCTTCATCTAGGGGATACCTCCCAACTTTTCCTTTTTTCGTGAAGAAACCAGTTTATTTTCCTGTTTGTTGCTGTCTTGTCTCAGACATGTTATTTAGCATACTCCTCTGTATCCCTTATTTCTTGTAAACTGGTAGAGGTATGATGTGGTTTGGTGTTAATTTTGGCAGGACTACTTCATGGCTGCTCTGTCACTTCCATCAGGAGATACATATTGTGAACTTGTCTTTCTTTACCGTGTTGGGCTTCCCTGGGGGCTCAGGCAATAAAGAATCCACCTGCAGTGCAGGAGACCTGGGTTCAGTCCCTTAGTTAGGAAGATCCTCTGGAGAAGGAAATGGCAACCCAGTATTCTTGCCTGGAGAATCCCATGGACGGAGGAAACTGGCAGGCTGTAGTCCATGGGGTCACAGAGTCAGACACGATTGAGTGACTAACACTTTCACTTTCACTTTGGGATGTTAGCAGCCTTAGATGATTGTCGCCTAGATTCACTATTTTAATTTGGGGCCAGAAAATGGTGACAGCCTTATCCTTTTATACTTTCTTTACCTGTTTGTTGGTATACTTCTATAAAGGGCAAAGTATGAAATTTAAAGCTCTCTCTTTGTAATTTTTCCAGAATGGCTTCCTTTGGATGGAAAAGGAAGATTGGTGAGAAGGTCTCAAAGGTCACGTCCCAGCAGTTTGAAGCTGAAGCTGCTGATGAGAAGGATACAGTCGGGAAAGATGAAGGTATCTGGCTTCATGCTGTTAAACGGAGGAAAGAAAGTCTCCTTGAAGGCTGTGCCGAGAAAAGCAAACAGCTGAAGGATGAAGGAGCCACTTTGGCTGAAAATAAAAGGTATGTTTTTAGAGTTTTCTTTTAGAGGATAGCTTTGGTCTTTGGTAGGATGGAACGCTCTTCAGATCATCTAGAGATCCACAGTCAGGCCTGTGTGCTGTTGACTGGTATATCCTTTGTGGTGCTGAAGCTTTTGAGACGTTAGAGGTAGTAGTGCTAAACAAGAAGCTCTTTTTAAAAATTCTTTTCTCTGTTCTTTTTCTTCTTTTTTTTTTTCCTATTGGTAAGGATTATAAAAGATTGCTTGTTTGTCATTTTTGTCTTAATTGAGTCAAAGTTGAGGAACCAGCCTTTTTGTTTCTAGGAATGTTATTGTGATTCTGTGAGTAATCTTATTGAATTTTAATGTAAAACATGAAGTAATGCTTAAACTGTAAAATATTAGCACCTCAGATTGGAAGTGAAGGAAAGACAATTAGTCAACGACAACTAACAGCTTCATGTCCTAATGTTAGATTGTGAATTCTCATTTGTAGTGTTTAGGCATAAAGATTTTTCTCTTGTAGGACTTCACGATATTGGCCATTCTATCTTAGAAGAAAATCAACTAATTTTTCCACATTCATGAAATCATTTTGAGAACATCCATAAAACATCTTTAGAAATTCCTGTAAATGCCTGTTAAAAGTTCATTAATTTTGTTGTTTTTATCTTTTTCTCTAGACCACACTAGTGTGTAGAAGGGAAGAGCTATTCAGTTATTGCCATGGGATTCCCTCTGAATTTCCTGTGGTAGATGAAAGATACCAACTTTGTGGATAAACAAATAGCTTTTTTTCCCCTTGCATGTCAAAACATTGAGTCATTTCACTGAAATCAGCTGAATTGGATGCTTTATTTTGAATGTAGAACACTGAGAAAATGAAGTATTTTAGTTCTTTAGCATTTGTTTTTGGATTACTATACACACAGCTTTGAAAGATCACTAAACAGAATTAAAGGAATCTGTAGTTCTATGAGTTGTCTGGCTCCTCTAAGTCAAAAGTAAATAGAAATAATGGTTTAAAAATATCTAAGAGAATATTCAACATGGTTGAAAGTAATATGAGGAGTAGGAAATAATATAAGGAAGAATAGTAAAGTTAAAAGAATAGAACTCAATCCTTGTTTTCCTAATCAACTTCATCTTAAACCACTATCATTTTCAGCACATTTTAAGCCACAGTGTCCTTCCTTGTGTTTTTGAAGACAGTTCTTGGTGCAGCTTTGCCTTATGACGCTTAACTGAAAACCTCTTAGTTCCTGTGTTCTGATGTTTATCGTATTGTCCTTCAGATCTCTGCTCATAAGTCCTCTTCTCAGCAAACCACTCCCTGACTACACAGCACCCTGTATTTCCTTGTTTTCCATCAGATCAGCTTTTTTTTAAAGAAGGAATTTTAAATGTCTATTTTGTGATTAGGTGAAAGGAATGCTAATCAAATAAACCTTACAAAAGACTGAAAAACTACTTTACTCGTGACTTATATTTCTAAATCTGTGTTTCAGAGAAAATCATTAAATTGATCTCTACGATGGTGCAATGGTGAGAGATCAGAAAGTGAATTAGTTGTTAGAGTGGCAGTTACTTCAAGTGCTGTAAGACTTGTTGATGTACCAAGGTGTAGGAACAGTGGTAGACATTTATTGGTGTACGAGTTTCTTTAAAATGTGTTACATTTTAAGAAATGTGTAACGTCATCATTAAAATCTAACATCAAATAGCCATTCATCCATTCATCCTTCTTTTAAAAAAAACATTCAAAGAGAGGTAAGATATATTAATAAACTTTAAGGAGCTCAGCTTTTGATAAGATGCACAGTTCAGTTCAGTTCAGTTGCTCAGTTGTGTCCGACTCTTTGCGACCCCATGAATCGCAGCACACCAGGCCTCCCTGTCCCATCACCAACTCCCGGAGTCTACTAAAACACATGTCCATTGAGTCGGTAATGCCATCCAGCCATCTCATCCTCCGTCATCCCCTTCTCCTCCTGCCCCCGATCGCTCCCAGCATCAGGGTCTTTTCCAATGAGTCAGCTCTTTGCATGAGGTGGCCAAAGTATTGGAGTTTCAGCTTCAGCATTAGTCCTTCCAGTGAACATCCAGGACTGATCTCCTTTAGGATAGACTGGTTGGATCTCCTTGCAGTCCAAGGGACTCTCAAGAGTCTTCTCCAACACCATAGTTCAAAAGCATCAATTCTTCGGCAGTCAGCTTTCTTCACAGTCCCAACTCTCACATCCATACAGGACCACTGGAAAAACCATAGCCTTGACCAGACGGACCTTTGTTGGCAAAGTAATGTCTCTGCTTTTTAATATGCTGTCTAGGTTGGTCATAACTTTCCTTCCAAGAAGCAAGTGTCTTTTAATTTCATGGCTGCAATCACCATCTGCAGTGATTTCGGAGCCCCAAAACGTAAAGTCTGACACTGTTTCTACTGTTTACCCATCTCTTTGCCATGAAGTGATGGGAAGCTGAAACTCCAATACTTTGGCCACCTCATGCAAAGAGTTGACTTACTGGAAAAGACCCTGATGCTGGGAGGGATTGGGGGCAGGAGGAGAAGGGGACGACAGAGGATGAGATGGCTGGATGGCATCACCGACTCGATGGACGTGAGTTTGAGTAAACTCCAGGAGTTGGTGATGGACAGGGAGGCCTGGTGTGCTGCGATTCATGGGGTTGCAAAGCGTCGGACACAACTGAGCGACTGAACTGAACTGAACTGATGGGATCAGATGCTATGATCTTAGTTTTCTGAATGTTGAGCGTTAAGCCAACTTTTTCACTCTCCTTTTACTTTCATCAAGAGGCTTTTTAGTTCCTCTTCACTTTCTGCCATAAGGGTGGTGTCATCTGCATATCTGAGGTTATTGATATTTCTCCCAGCAATCTTGATTCCAGCTTGTGCTTTTTCCAGCCCAGCATTTCTCATGATGTACTCTGCATGTGCCAAAGCCTTTGACTGTGTGGATCACAATAAACTGTGGAAAATTCTGAAAGAGATGGGAATACCAGACCACCTGACCTGCCTCTTGAGAAACCTATATGCAGGTCAGGAAGCAACAGTTAGAACTGGACATGGAACAACAGACTAGTTTCAAATAGAAAAAGGAGTACGTCAAGGCTGTATATTGTCACTCTGCTTGTTTAACTTATATGGAGAGTACATCATGAGAAACGCTGGGCTGGAAGATGCACAAGAATACAAATAATTACATTGTAGAGTAGTGTGTGCAGTAAGACAGGTCCATACAAAATATTTTAGAATCACAGGAAATCACCAATTCTACCTGTGTATATCAAGGAAGTTCTAACAGATAAATTCAATCTTCAGTTGGGTTTCAAAGGGGTAGTATTTGCCAAACCAATAGTGGTGGGAACTTTCTTGAAATAAAGTGGGAACAGAACATGGAAGTAGAAAGAGTCATGAAATTGTTTTACCTGTTTAGGAAAATTCTACCAAGTTCGTATTGCTGGAGCAAAGAAATAGAAAAAAGTTTGCAATAAACACTCCTGAAGAGAAAAACTAGGTTGTGATTTCTTTGTATGCAACAATAAGACCTTTTTCATTGTATTTTGTTAACAATAGTGAAAAGTAATTTTATGACTTAAAGTAAGAAGAACCACAATCACATCAGCTTTTTAAATTTCTTTTAGTATTTTTCCCTTTTTGAAGTTACATTTTTCACTTATATAGTGCTTTATATTTCTTTGCCTTCTATAGAAATGTAAGCTCCAGGAATGTAGGGACTTTGTCTAAACAGACTTTTGTACTCTACCTTTAGCTCTTAGAACAATTTGTGTCATTTACAAGGCCAGTGAGTAGATATTTACTGAATATTTGTGGGCTGCTGTGTTATGCTATATTGTCGCTAAGTAGGTTTTTGTGGATTAACTACCATATGTTACATTGTACCTATAGGAATATATATTTTTAAGCTCCAGATTGGAACACCATTCTGAGAACATATTTTATTTCATATTCCAACCACAGAGGACCTTTGGGAATAGAATTTTCTATCTTCCTCCTGCCTGAGAATATGACACTTGAAAATTATTGTTCTTTTCTGAGTCCAATTCCTTTCCCCATAAGCTATGATGGTAAGGATTAAGTAACAAAATATGGAACAGCTTTGAACTTGGAATGAGTAGTAATCCTAAGAGTGTAGAGAGGTAGGGGTGCCTCTGGAGGCATTGCTAGAGAAGGAGGGAGGGAAGGTAGGTGGAAAGGAGGGAGCTCCTTCAATTTCCTGGGATACATTGTTTTGCCTCCTTGAGATTTTCTTTTTTACCCTGCAGATTTTCTTGTTTAGTTTTATTTAGCACTTAGAGAATTGTCCGAGTACATTGAATATGTATGATCCAGTGTGTTAATGTCATTTTTCCTCCAAAGGAGACACAGTTCTTGAGCATCACAGACTCTACCCTGTCCAGTTTACTTCATTAGTAACAAACTATTAACTACTCTTAGGAAAATATGGTTTGCAACAGAATAGCTTTTAAATTCTGAAGTTCTACCTTGTAGTATTCATGATTCCTTCTAACAGAAAACTGGTTTACTTTTCTACCGAAGCCCTAAGTAATGTTGGTGCCTTACGGTTGTGTGTGCTCAGCCCCTCAGTCGGGTCCGACTCTTTGCGACCTCTCTGTCTGTGGAATTTTCCAGCCAAGAATGCTGGAGTGGGTTGCCATTTCCTACTCCAGGGGATCTTTCCAACTCAGGAATTGAACTTGCGTCTCTGGCGTTGCCAAGGAGATTCTTTACCACTGTACCACCTGGGAAGCCCCTGGTGCCTTACGGAGACAGTATTGTAAGTCTAGTGCTTATGAGTGTGGATTTTGAAGTCATTTTAATTCCATTCAGATGCTAGCTTTATCATTTTTACTGTATAAATTTTGGGCAGGTTCTTAATCTTTTAAGTGTCAATTTATAGTTTCCTTATATGAAAAATTAAGGTGACATTTATCTCATAAACTATTGGGGGCTTAAAGACCAAGTCCATGTATAATCACT